TTACAATAAATGAGAATCAAGAACATTATTCAGAGAATTTTGTCTGTTCCGAATTTGGTGGCTACGTGAAACACATAAACAAATGATGCCCCATTTTGTTTTGTGTTACATTTTACTGGTTTGTTTTGATTTATTTTATTCTATGGGGTGATACAAAAATAACGTTCCCATTGAAGAGTCAATTATCAATAGTCTGATATTACCTTTATGGTTCTCCCTAAGGCAGATATAATGACCTCGTACTCGGAAAGAGGCGTCATACGACATGTCGTAATTCTGACTAATTGATTGTGGGACAGATTTTATAGGCCTTACATAACACTGCATCATGTTGTAAATCTACATGCGTAAATACATAAGGATATATTAACGACTTTCTAATTCGTCACGCGACAACGTCATAAAACGTGCCAGCGGTGTATAGGGACGTGCCTTCAGCCATTGTGTTGTATAAACATATATTATTACTGCTTGAGTATTATGGTTGTATTTGGTGAATGGTGCAGCGACCACCTTTTCCTGTTTACCCGTCATTTTATAGAAAGGAAACACATACGCAATAACAGCAGCGTCGTATACATGCTACTATTGTTTGCGGAGGAACACATCCGGTTCGGTGTGAGCACGATTTCCGGTTTTCCCATCGCCGCTAAAGAGTGTACTCCCATTCATGCGTGACACCATTGTCTATGTGAACGGATGACGGTTTGTGAATCCTTGTCCGTGCTGTATATGCGCATGCAAGGACGCCGTCTTGAGAAACACCATCCCCCTTTCCCCAAGACACAAGAGTAAGTGAGTTTAGTTTTACGCCACTTTTAGCAATATTCCAGCAGTATCACGCCGGGGACACCAGAAATGTGCTTCACTCAATGTATCCATGTGGGGAATCGAACCTGGGTCTTCGGCGTGGCGAGCGAACGCTTTACCCACTAGGCTCCCCAACAATCTAGCACAGTGGCTCCAACTGGCTTACAGTGTTCATGCCTACAGTGAAGTGGGTTCCATGGTGCCAGACACCATTTAGGTCTTGTGATGGTTCTGCTAAAGATCTCCAAATACACGATGGTCTTTGTGCTGCAGGATTTGACAAGGTTATTGTGTTGAGCTCCGAATCCGACACATTTGTCAGGAACAGGGAAGGAACTGGTTGTATTGAAGAGATTGTTTCTATCATATTTCCACTTCCAACATTACTAAACGAGAAAGCATTGTACAGACAAGGAAGGAAATGTTTTCTTAAAACTACCAAAACACACCCATCCTCTTCTGTGAAATTAGCTCATTATGTGATGAGGTCGTTATTGCGTTTCTTATTATTGTGTTTGTTTTCTTTGAAATTGTCCAAACCATCTTCGGTAATCCAGTGTATAATACAGCCATTCTTTTACCATAACTACCTTGAATCCATCTGCCGGCACAAGCCGAAACACGAGTCTCATTAACCAATTCAGACAATGACCTACTTATCAGCCGATCCGAATTTTCTCGTCTGAAAGTGAAAAGAGACTCTACAAACAACTATGGTTACACGAAATTCCAATTCCTTGTTTCATAAGAAAGTTTAATTTTGAACTTTACAAAAATCGTATTTCTATATTTTATGTGGAGGTACCGGCAGCATGTCACCATCTAAGTCGTCATAGACTGCCCCTGTTTGAAGAGGTCGTACAATGATTCACAATTCATCTGGCTCACTGGTTACACCTGTTATATGTTCTTTGCGCTTATTAAGTGTCTTTTTCGAACGTACAATGTGATTGATATAATATCAAGTCCGTACCAGAACGCCAAACCTTTCTAGCGGCCGAGCCTCGTTTTGAGATGTCCACGATTTCCGTTTGTCAGAACACGCTGCACGACGTGCTTGCAAGGATTAGAAGGAGCGTAGTGTTGCAATATACAAATGATTAGACGTATCAAATAATACTGATTAATATTTAAATATCCAGTTGAATGAGTTGGTCTCAAAATTCTGGACTAGTTATTGTAGTAAGTTGCGTAATAGGACGGAACCCAGTCAGCAGGAAACAAGACTGCTGTGTAATACTCTCAGAGAAATAGATCTTGATGATGTACAAGTGTGGATAGAGGAATTAGATGTCGATATTAGTGAAAAAGAGGTCTCCACTGCTGTTAAAATGTTGAAGTTGGGTAAGTCAGCTGGTTATGACGGTATTATCAATGAGTTTTTGGTTCATGGCTCATCAATATTGATTCCCGTAATGACGAAATTGTTCAATGCTATTTTTAGAACAGGGTATTTCCAATCAGGATGGACTGAAGGAGTTATCGTTCCTATACACATGAAGGGTAGCAAGGTTATTCCGGATATTATAGAGGCGTCACATTACTGTCATGTTTCAGCAAGTTATTTACTCGTATTTTGAACTTGAGGATTTCTTCTTGGTGTGAAAAATATAGTGTAATTATTGAAGAACAGGCCGGTTTCCGAGAATATTACAGCACTGTTGACTGTATATTTGTTCTACATGGATTAATTAATATTGCAATTAAAAATAAAGTTAAATTATACTGTGCATTCATTGACTATCGAAAAGCATTTGACTATGTAAATAGACATGCACTTTGGTGTAAATTATATAAGCTTGGGATAAGTTCAAAACTTCTAACTTTAGTTCGAAGTATGTATGAGGAGGTTAAGTCTTGTGTTAGGCTGTCCAGTAATATTCATTCAAACTTTTTCATGTCGGCTATTGGTGTCAAGCAAGGAGAAAATCTGTCGCCGATTATGTTTTCATTATTTATTAATGATATAGTAGAAGAACTTTCTTCTATTGATGACTTGGGAGTTGTTATTTCTCATGTACGTTTACTTCTGTTGATATTTGCGGATGATATGGTGCTGTTTAGCAATAGTCTTAAAGGTTTACAAGACGATTTGGATATGATGTTTACTTACTGCACGAAATGGGGCTTGACCATAAATGCCGAAAAAACTAAGGTTGTTATTTTTCGTATAATGGTTCACCTCTTGAGGTAATCAATAATTTTAAATATCTTAGTTTAGTATTTTCAACAGGTGGCAGTTTTTCACAAGCTCAGAAAATCAGAACAAGGTTTGAAGGCACTTGGTTCATTGTACAATATATTCAACGATTATGCGTACATTACTCCAGATATTCAGTATCAGTTATTCCAATCAGTTGTTTCTCCTATTCTCTCATATGGTTGCGAAGTTTGGGGCTTCATGGCAGCTAATGCTATCGAAAGGGTACACTTGAAATTTATGAAACACATATTATATGTCAAAATGTCAAGTCCATCAACTTTCTTATATGGAGAATTGGGTACATTCCCTTTGAAAGTTATTCGTCTTGTCAGGATTATCAAATATTGGCTTAAGATTTTGAGAAGTAAACCAGATAGATATATAGTTTTGATATATAATTCATTATTGAATAGTTCAAATGAGAACCCTGATGTTGAAAATTGGGCAAGTTCATAGAGAGATACGCTCTTCAGGTTTGGTTTTGGCTATATTTGGGTTGCCCAATATGTTCCTGAAAGTTGTGATTTTGTGAGAGAATTTACACAAAGGGTTAAGGATATTTATTCTCAAATGTGGAAACATCAATTATCAACTCTGAGTGAAACTAGATTGTATCTTCATATTAAGGAAACTCTGTGCATCGAGAAATATTTAACTAATATTGATGTTAGGAAGTACCGAATTGCGTTTACACATTTCCGACTCAGTTTACATATGCTTATGATTGAAAAAGGCCTAAAATCCGTCTTGCTGATAGATTATGTCCCTTTTGTACTAACGAAATAGAAGATGAGTACCACGTACTCTTGATTTGTCCAAAATATCGAGAAATACGGAAACAGCATTTAAGTAATACTTTATTGGAAATATATATATATTTAAGTTTATCAAATTGTTAAAATGTGAAAACAGTTTTGAAGTACTGAAAGCTGCAAAGTGTATTTATTATATCTTAAATGAAAGAAACAAAGTTGAATTTTTGTAAATCGTTCACACATATCCTCACTCTTGGGCTATAATGTTAATAACAATATGATTGCTCTCTCTATATATACGTACCTCGCCATGTGCACAGGCGAATATCCAGTATATTTATATTGTATTGGTCTTTGACCTAATAAAAATCTTGTCTTGTCTTGTCTGTAATCCATGTTTTGACTTGGGATTTGTTTGTTTGCTTGTTGTTTAACGCCAAACTATTTCGGTTATATGGCGGTGGTCTGTAATCCACTGACTGGCAAGAATACGATGTCATGAGTCAGCGAGCCTGACCATTCGGTCCTGTATGTCGCCTCTTACGACAAGCATGGGTTGCTGATTTGTACGCGTACCTCAACGATAGAACATCAGTTGATTATAGAATAGAAGAATAGAATAGAATAATACTTTAATGCCTTTTCTGGAATTTGTGTTACATCAGCAGAGCTACTGACACATTAGAGAGATACCAAACATATTTACATAAATTCTTTGATTTAGGCATCTTCACATTTGTTTAAAGGATGTACGGGCTCTCTTAGTTTTCACAATTGGAACTTTGTATCCTCTGAAGGGAGAAGGTTGTATTCCGAATTTAAGTAGTGAGTACGGTCAGATATGATTTATGTATTTGAAAACCATGTTCAGTGACAAACGAATGAGTTCATCACATATTGTGACGTCATTAAATATTACAACAATTATCATTTGTGTATCACCACATCACCTGCATATTTGGAATATTCGAAACTATTATTAAATGTTTCTCATAACAGTATGAATGATACAAGCGAGTCCGGTAATTCTGCGCAGCTGCAATAGCGTACTTCCGTATCGAAGGTAAACATTGCCTGCTACCACATTTACGCTTGAAATCGGGACATTTCTACAAGGGAATGGCTTTTAATCACTAAAGGTAAGTGGAATATGGATTATAGCATGGGTGATGCTGAATTGATGATATATTTAAACCGTGAATGCTCATTAAACATAAACGATAAACGCCTACCTGTGATGGCATCCCTTCCGCTCTTTGACAGTACTCGTAGACCTTTTTCTTCTTGCTTAGTTCTTTTATTCTCAATGCTTTCTGTTCGTCAAACTGCGGAAGTGACGTGTCCAGGTGCGTGATAACGTAATGGAAGTCACTTTCAATCCAGCGCAGGACCGGAAACTCGAATGTCTCTCCGGTTGTCATGTTCTCCACAGTGATAAGATCGAGGTACCAATGAGAACCAATCCCCGAACTGTCGCGCCAAAACTCAACTTTGTTGATCACCGGCCCAATCGCGTTAGTTTTGCTTTTTGAAAGAGAGAATTTATCAGTTTGCCCTCTCTCGAAGTCGTTTCTCAAGAAGTTGTCAAGGTCGGCAGCTTCCGATTTAACACCGTTGCTGTCATGGAGCACGATGGTGACGTTGGCGTCCGTCCCCGCACCCCGCTGGTCCCCCGTTTTCACATATATCACGAACCGAGAACTCATGGTACTGGACGATCCCTCACGAGTGGGCGGTGTACCTGGGTGATTTCTATAAATTCGCTGATGTTTGGCTTGAGTTGGTCGTCAAGAGTCTGGCCAAAGGTCAAGACCAACTTTACGTTACTGGTTATAATTGGGGTCGGATTGTTCTAGTCTGAAACATAAAAATAAATAACTGTAAAGTCAACCTATGTTCAGACTACTAGAATATTACACCTGAAATCATGAAAAAATCACGCTGTACCCCATATACCCCTTGGCTTAAAACAGGAAACTTTAATTGTTGTTGTTTTGACTTTTTTGATATACTCATGGAACGAATATGGGAACACGGGAAAGTTCAAGTGTTCCTATTTATTTCCAGAATTACACCCATAGTGTAAAGGAATAAATGGACACTTGTACTTTCATGTGTTCCCTTATTTGTTTCCATGAGTATACTTGTCATATTGTGTTGATGCTCAAGGTGTCAATCACTGAATTGTCCGATCGAAACAACAACAAAACAAACCGACACCTCAATGAAATGACGCCTTGTGACTTCCGTGAGAATTCGTACCCCCAATGTCACAACCACGTATACGACGCTTTTCACAAGATCACTGAAATATGGCTTTCGTTAACACTGGCTTAACAACCATCAAATCGGCTGATTTCTACCTTTATACGTCGAACATGTTTGTGTCTCTGATATACAGGGGCGGTGGGGTAGCCTAGATTTTAAAGCGTTCGCTCGTCACGCCGAAGACCCGGGTTCGACTCCCCACATGGGTAGGGGAGACCGGGGGCAATTGTAACAAGGGCGATTACTCGCTCAAGCATAGTGTAGGTGAGTAGAGTTATTTCCCTTTACTTTCCTGCGGTACGCATCCAGGCGTTTTTCAGCTACTCGCTCATGGCGAGATACAGTTGACGAAGAATCGTTTTTCACATAGGAAAGTAAAATTTTCACAAAACGTAATAAATGGTTCTTAATGCAGTAAATGTTGCTTTGTATGAAATTAATTAACAAGTGTAAAATTGAGGTATTACGTAGAAATATTTGAGAAGCCCAAAGTTGTTAACGTGTGACGTGGCATGAAACATTGCTACTACCGATTGTAACACTTGTAATTTTCCCTTGTGTTATGATAATGAAGCAAATTATGATGAAGGTTTTATGTTAGTTCTTTACTAGTTTTATCATAGTAGAACATGTCCAGTGTTATGTTGATAGTATTAGCCCTCGGGTGACATATTTTGGTATTATATTTTGGGCATACCAATACAAGAATTTTAAACCAAAAAACATTTTAAATGTCGATGGTGATAAAGGTTTAATGTTAATCCATTTCCACCTCAATTGATCAAGATAACATCTTTCCACATTTTATTTTTATTTTATTTGGAAAATAAACAGATTGTTACATTTGAACCTTCTTTGCTACAATTGCCCCATCCGCCTGTTACAATTGCCCCGTGCTAGGGGTCAATTGTAACACTTGCAGTCATTGCATTTTATGCATAATAACTTTGTAACGACATGATAGTGAACTTTAAATGACACTGAGGTTTAAAACCAAGATGCCAATGTACTAGTTAGTACCGATTAACTTGGTGAGCAGTCGACTAGTATCGAATTACAAGAAGTTAAGTAAAAAGTGTTACAATTGACCCCGGTCTCCCCTACTATGTGTGAAGCCCATTTCTGGTGTCCCCGCCGTGATATTGCTGGAATTTGGCTAAAAGCGGCGTAAAAACTAACCTCAGTCAGTCTGATATACAGACCCTTGTGAAACAATAGATGGGGGAAATTATCTAGAGAACAAGATAAATAGTTTACATCCCACTCAACCTTGGCCTCGTGGAAGTTGACACCGTGTCTGATAGGACTACAGCTGTGTGTCATATAAATGGCAATTTATCGTTAACAGCTTGCGACATAATAATAATAATAATAAATATATATTTATATAGCGCTTATTTCCAGTTCTGTTAAAGAACCACTAAACTTTGTTTTTTGTTACTCTTTTAACCATTACATATGAAAGATTTGTGGTTAGTCTTATGCGGAACACCAAATTTATTCTTTAAAAACTTGTGGTTAATTAATACCGAGCGATTAAAAGTGGCCAAAAAGTCGCCTGCTTCCCTCTCGCCCGCCAACGAAACCACAGACAGGTTACGTAACTCTGTCGCCAGAGCACTGCAGTGACGTCATATGAGGAACGATTTTCAGTTAGTTGTATAGAAAATGTGTAGCACGCTCATCATTTTGATGATTTCTCGACATCAACGACGACATGCCGAATCGTTGCTTTGTCGTGAATTGCTCCTAGGGGTCGGGCGATGGTGTCCCCATGCACAGATTTCCACAGGACCCACAGTTCGTGCTAAATGGGTTATGTTTGTGAGTGCGAAGCGAGCGTTGTGGAAGCCTGAAACGATATCTTACTTGTGTTCAGATCGCTTCACGGAAGTTAAAGAATCAAAACTACTTACTAATTGTAGTAAAATATGCATATGATTGATGACCATAAAGATTTTCTATGACACAACTTGTAACATAACGATTTCTTCCTCGGAAGTGAGGTTGTGGTCGAAGTAACAATAATATTGTAAGTAGTATTATATTGACACCCACCTCGCTGCCACGAGAAATTGTTATGATATACGCTATATGTCATGCAAAATCCTATTGGCCATCAATAAAATACATATTTTTTACCAGTAGAAAGTAGTTTTGATTTTGTAACTCGGTGAAAACAAACCTAAATACCATTTATCCTCAGACTGGCGGATGTTCCCGACAGGGCGCCGCCATTTTTAAAAATAAAAAAAATCTGTTAGAATTAATGAGATTATAGTTTGTTTTCATCAAGTTAGAAAATCAAGACTACTTTCTACTCGTTGTTAAATATGTATTGGAATCATAACCAAACGGATTTTGCATGACACAACTTATAACATAACGATTTCTTCCACGGAAGCGAGGTGGGGGTCGAAGTCACAATACTGCGCGATAAATTTCTTGCTATACATTCCCATGGTTAATGTCCACTCACCAGTATGTAGATACTAGTCAATGTGCGTCTTTATATTTGGTCTTATAATCCTAATTAGTTTATTATCACACTTGTATGCATTTTGAAACTAAATAAAAAGCTGACGATCTGCTGATACTTATAGTGAATTTATAACAGAACTGTAATATCTAGACATTTTATAGTTTGCCAATGTGAATCATAATTCGCACACACACCCTAGTGCATGTTGTCTGTCCTCATTACACTTCACGGCTAAAACAATGATTCTGTTGAATGCTACGACAAATGAATAAAACAAAATGCAAATATTAAAATTAAAACAGATTAAAGTTATAGGAACAATATCAGGCCATTACCTTGTTCGAGGAATGTATCCATCAATATCCACAAAACTGTTTCCAAATGATGTGTCTTTTAACAGTTTAATATACGAAAAGTGATAAATCTTTTCAGGTATTGGTGTATAGTCTCATTGGTCACCCAAGATAGCACACCTGGCAACTAATTGCATAATGTCCGCCTTTCTTTAAAAACAGTAATTTAGTTAGCCAATAATGGGCAATCAATCAAATGTATTGCCGGTTAATCCTTTGAAAAAGAAGGACGTTGTTTTTACGCAGACACCGACACGACAGAGTGTAATTCAGTATAGATTAGTAAATCTACATACATAAACACTACCTTTTGACAATTCCGCTGTGTAAGATAAAAGTAATTAATCAATCAGCGTGTTATATCGGTTTAATCCTTTGATCGATGTTTATAATGTTGAATATTTACTCCAGACACAAGAAATGCCAAATGGGAACCTTTGTCGGGTAATCTAAGTGTGTTACCACTAATTATACCTGTTATAAATTCATTAACTGACCATCAAGTGAATGATGACAAATAACATGTAGGTTTATACCACCTAACACGGGTTACAACGAGGGAGTATTAATTGCTGTATTGCATGTGAAAACTTATGGGCCGACACTGTTTTGAGAATACAAACAGATTTTTACATGACATGATTAAATATCGAGGTAAAACAACACAGAAATGGGATCAATTTGGATCAGTCATTATACAAATGGGGCCTAACGACACCAATCGATTTTGACCAATCGATTTTGACAGAATCGTCTATGAAAACAATTGTGCACTGTTGTTAAGTAACTAGGGTTTATGTGACCTTTAAACTGCTCAAAAGCGCTTTTTGGCGGTAGTGAGCTCTATATATATTAGATCCTCGATAACTAGGCATATAGTGGAGAGTGAAAGCAGATTATCGGAGATATACACGGAAATTAAAATGACAGTAGATTGTGAGAGACATATAGCTTCTATTTTTTCCACAACGGATTTAATGGATATAATATAATGGATTTAAGCTGTCACGATTTCAGGTTTATATCCAATGGTGGCTGTGATAAACACGATAATTTACCCCCTAAAAATGATCCAAGATGAATTCTGCTGACCGGCTCTGGATCCAAAGCTATTCCTCATATGACGTCACGGATCCAAGAGGCTGGATGTGCGATCCGCTCTGGATTAGTTGAAATTTCGGTTCTTGATGTGCCTACTGGTCACCTACTGGTCAGGTTACACATTGTAAAGACCCGGTTGCGATTCCCCACATGGGTAGAATGTGTAAAACCCATTTCTGGTGTACCTGTCGTGATATTGCTGAAATATTGCTAAAAGCGGCGTAAAACCATACTCACTCACTCACTCACCCAAAATAGGGCAAAAATAATATTTTATTGACCATATGCCGCCTTTGATCCTCACATTGTTTTAAACTGACATATATTTCACCCAACAAGTACAGGACATAAAAGCCCCATGCCTTACCTATTACTAGAACTCTTGCCCTTTAGATACCACTGACACATACACTGTTTCTACCACATTTGTCCGACGAAAATGCAATCAGTCTAACATTCAACTACCAGCATAGTCCAAAGGCCATTGAAGAGCCTTTCAAGTCGAAATGGTTTCACAGTTTGCAAAAAGCTCAGCGTCTCTGGTTTCGAGACAAGGATGCTATATACGATTAGATGGAGTATGTGTAAGTTAATCCAATACCAACATCTACAGTGCAGACATCTGACTCGGGCAACACGAGCCATGGCTCGAG